GCACCTCTGTAATGAGGAATTTGTCTTTTTTTTGGGAGGGTAGGGGTGTGGTGAATCTGTCGGCTGATTATGCATTTGTCAGAGGCCTTTATTCCAGGCTACGCCATTCCTCCTGTAACACTGAACACTCTCACACCCAGGATTAACATCCAGTAAAGCCGTAATTTTTCTACAAATCCTAAAAGACAGACAATTCCAATGACAAAAATATTCAGGCCTGATTTAAGAGGCTACTGGTTCAAGTGGTCAGCAAGACACACTCCAGTATGGATACTTCCCTGTAGTGAGACCTCAAGCGAAGAGCAGCTAAAGCCTGGGTAACGAGGGTTAGTGACATCATGAAGAATCCACACAGAAGCCAGGTTACAAAGCATTTCACAGGAGTCTTGGCATTTTCCACAGATTCTTCAAATTAAAAAAAAAAAAGTCTCTCCTGAGCTCTGAACAGACAAAAGCAACCACCTGATACCTTCTCTGGTCACTCGCTCAGTCCTCCAGGAGGTCCCTGATGTTCACAAAGCCACCAACCCAGCAAGTCAACACATACTTGATGTGACTGGTCCCTTACAGATTGTAATCCTGCGGCACAACAAATCCAAAGTCAAGGAAATAAGCTCATACTGAAAAACTAAGTACAGTTTAGCAGCATCAATGCAGGACAATCTCAAAGCAGGAACCCAGTCCTGGACGCACGATGCAAAATAAGCACATATCCCACCTTTTAGTTTCAAATGAGTTTTACTTCCATTAAATTAATATTGCTTTGGTATAAAAGTCCCAGTTACACAATGCAATTATGGAACGGTGAGATTTAACATATTATACTAGTAGAAAATTTGGGAAAAGATCCTAAAAGATCGGGAAGAGCACTACTGTGTTCTTTAAACAAAGCCCACAGAGTCCTCAAACTGCTTCCTACAGGCTGGATATGGCCGTCAGGATGATTCTGCACCCAGCCTGGGGCTTGACCCCGTACATTCCTCTTACCCCAAGGCTTACGGAGGGGCAGCTACAGGCCAGATGGACAGGTTAAACCTGGTCACTGACGTTCCTGGCAATCCCACGGACATCTGCCACCAGGCTTATTTACGAAGTGTCACGTAATACAGAGGCTTTGATAAATCCCTCTCTTTTCCCTGGGAAATAACATTTGCTGGGCTTCTGGCCACGTTTCAGGCGGCCGCTGGGAAAGTACAAATTGCAGGAAACCACGGTATGAACTGGAGCCTGCTCATGATCATCTTCCCCTGATAAAAAAAACAAACCACTCTCTCCCCAAACAACAAAACCAAAAGCACACACCCCAACAGGGATGTGCCTGTTCACAAATATTGGAAGGTACATGTAATATTCCCAAAAGATTTTTGAACTGCTCCACAGGCAAAGGAGCTGACACCTACAGCATTTTAAGGAGTATGTGAATATGCCCAACAAATCCAACCCTTCCAGGAAATGCCACATGCCAGCGCAAAACGGAATGGAGAACCCAGAGAGAAAAACATACGGTCATGGCTCTTACTCCTCAAAAAGCAAATCCTGAAACCCTTACTGCTCTTCCACGTGGGTGCTGATGAAGTTGCAGTAAGTAGCCCAAGGGTGATCAAAAAAGAATTCAAAGCCTTGGGGCGGTTAGTGAAGGACTCTGGAGCACAGGTCATTTTTTCTTCGCTCCTTCCAGTGGTGGGCAGAGACACTGGGCAATACAGGCGGACTCAATCCATTAATACGTGGCTCCGTGACTGGTGTCGACGCCACAACTTTGGGTTCTTTGACCACGGGATGGTCTACACGGCACCGGGCTTGCTGGCATCAAATGGGAGCCAGCTTTCTCAAAAGGGGAAGAGGGTCTTTACCCAGGAGCTTGCAGGGCTCATTGACAGGGCTTTAAACTAGATGGGAAGGGGGAAGGGGAACCTATTGGGCTTGCCAGCAACAGGCTAGGGGATGAAATGCAAGGGTTAGAGGGACTGGGGGCTAGTATGAGCCCTCAACCTCACTGTGCGAGGGGTGCTGCAGCGAAGTTGAAGTCTGGCAGAGGTGAGCCAGAGGCTCCTGGAAGAGCCCGGGAAACACCTCAAAGGAAATGAGGGGTGTTCTGCTATGAAGGTGACGAGGCCGACAGCTCAGGTGAAATTCTCTATACAAACGCACGCAGCATGGGAAACAAACAAGAGGAGTTGGAAGCTATCATGCTGCTAGAAAGCTACGACCTGATTGCCATTACAGAAACTTGGTGGGATGAATCCCATGACTGGAATGTAGCTCTTGATGGCTACAGGCTGTTCAGAAGGGACAGGCGAAGAAGGAGGGGTGGAGGCATTGCCCTTTACATCAAGAAACCATTACAGTGTGAAGAGCTGTCCTTGAAGAACAGCCATGAGCAGGTCAAAAGCTTATGGGTAAAAATCAAAAACATAAGCAACAAAGGGAACCTTGTGGTTGGTGTCTACTACAGGCCACCAGATGAAGAGGAGCCAACTGATCAAGTGTTATTCCTCCAAATCCAGGAGGATTCGCGCTCGCAGGGGACTTCAACCACCCTGACATCTGCTGGAAAACCAACATGGCAAGCTGTAGGCAGTCCAGCAGGTTTCTTGAATGCATTGAGGACAACTTCTTAAGCCAGGTAATAGGCACCCCTACCCGAGGGGATGCGATACTGGACCTGGTGGTCACCAATGCAAGCGAGCTTGTC